CTTCCAACCTCAGTCCTTCTGTGATTCAGTCCACAGTACTGATGTGGAGATAGGAACAAGGCAAAGAAACAACCTGAGAAGGGGAAGAGAATTTAATTTGCTCCTCTTTTTTCTCCCTCACTCACTTGAAAGTACAGAAAGACCTTCCCCTCACTCCATTTTACTACATTAAGAGCAGCAGCTGCACAGAGAGGATGTGATTGTAGAGCACCATCAGCACACCTTGCTTACCGATTCCCTCACCTAAACACGGTGACACAAAAGAGACAAGAACATTGTCTTGAGACAGGAGGCATAACCATCTGCTGAACTAATACTCCAAAATCCAGCTTTGGAACTAGTGGGAAATGTAGCTTATTTCCAAGGTTCATAACCATTCATAATTTCAGCCAATTAAATTTTCGTTTTTCCAGCATTTTGTTTCTTCACATAAGTGTTTGCAACCATTCAGTTTCTGCTTGTTTGTAGTTTCAAATACATGAAATGTCCCCAATTCTTTTTTTGTGTCCTAGACATTTTATTTTGGAACAGTCAACAAAATCAGCAACAGCAACAAGACAAGTGAAAGCTTTTGGATCTAAGGTCTGATTGTTTGAAAAAGATCAGTACGTTTGTGCATCAAAATGTTACCAGATCAGCTGTCTTTCTGCCACCAGAACATACGATTCTGAATTAGGAGGCTTGCAAAACAGGTCAAAGGGAAGAAATTTGTCCAGGCTACTTGTATTGCTGTTTCAGCTAGCAACTCCAGTGTCCAATTTTGATCTAAGACAATGTAAATTTAATTGCTTTCTGTGATTTGCTTAATGGGATGTTATGATTGTTCACTTTACATCTGAGACAAAAACTGTCACTGGTAAATCCAGTTTAACAAGAGAATTAATCACACATAGCATGGCTTATATAAGGTAAAGGGGAAGGAGGTGATAAACAACAGAACAAAATATAGTTTAATGATTTAGGACATTGTCACTATGGATTGTTCTTAAATAGCCTACTTTGATTTACAAGAGTTCAGTATAAATAGAATAATTTTTCGAGTAACTGTCTAGTCAGTTGTAGTTTAGCATGAAATGTATAGCATGTGGAGAATGATTTTAATTCAGTAAGCTCATGTTTGTGCAGCAACAAAAGAATAAGAAAATACATGTCTGAAATAGAGGCGGAGATGTACGGAGAAACTCCCAGCTTTCGGTTGTAGGTCAGCGAGGAGGAGTGATTGCCATCCTCAGTTGTCCAGTAGATGCCAGATTGGAGTGTTTTTCATACCCTCCTTCCAAAGCATCATCTCAAAGCATATTATTTTGTGAGGAAATGTTTCCTGACAATTGAGTACACTAAGTCACCTCAGTCACAGGTAACATTTCTGAGGCTTTCCTCAGGGTGAAGTAGTGAATATACCAGGGCAGCAAATGTTTGGAGGCATTTCTCAAGAGATGTGAAACTTTCATGTTTGTCCCACCTGCCAATAGTTGCGCAAGTAAGGAAAGGCCCCCTGACAGTCTATGACTTTTTATAATTTCTGCCATAAATATGAGTGTTTGAAACAAAAACTGCTGTCGGAATGTGTCTGGCAACTCTGTTGACTCCCTTTTTTAGCATAGGTAAATCTGTTAAAACAGGTTTATTCAGGGAAAACAAATAATTTTCTCAGTCTTTGGCACCCCTTTCTTAGAGGTAAATTTTCTTGACTTTTTTTTTTAGCTTTTTTTTAGCTTTTTTTTTTAGCTTTTTTTTAGAAACTGAAAGGAATCTGTATATGAGAGCTCCATAGTAAAATACTGGCAGCAGAGCAATAGAAATAAAGCTGTAGTCTCCAGTTATATTGTAATAGCTTTCTTTTTGTTTTAGCATGGTTAAAACTAGCACTGATAGTCCAATTGCAGTCTCCGATCTAGAATTGCTTTTAGCTATTACCATGTGCCTTTTAGAGCCCTCTTTGGATGACATGCTCCATATCATAAAGTCAGGTGCTGGACAGGATATAATTTAGACTTCAGCTCTTCTTCTCTGTTTGAAATAAAATGATGATATTGCAGGAGAACCTAAGGGAAGATTAAAAGTTTTATATCACAAGTTGAATGTTTTGTTGTACATTCTTCTTTTAAAGAAAATGGTATTCATTTAACATAATGTGTGTTCTGATGAAAAGGCACTCCTCTGAATTAAAAAGGAATTCATAAAGTATGCGTGCATGTGAGAGGAAGATGATAATCTTCTTTTGAGTGTTTAGTCAGAGGTTTTTAACTCAGCCCATTCTGCTTTGTATCTTGAATGAGATAGTTATCTGTAAAGCCATATTGTAGGATCATAAATAACAGATGGCCTGCGGTGCTTAGTGAGCAGCAATTGAAGTCGCAAAATCTTCTGGGACACCTTTCCACAGACAGGTTATAGAGCTATATTATAATCTCTGTTGTAGCCAACAGACTCTTGCCTTCAAAAATAGTTCTTGCCTATCTTTAAACCTTCCGTAATTTGCAGTGTCCAGGCAATAGAGCCTCATAATTATAGTTCTGGTAACTCCTGTGATGCCTTTCATTCCTCGCATCCCAAAGTTATTCGAAGACAGAAGTCACTTATGGATTACATAGTTGTATAGCTAACATGGGTGTTAAAATAGATGGAATAGTCCGTATCAGGTAGAATATGATATGAACAACACAATAAAGTTATTGTCCAATAAGATCATCTAACTTTTGTCCCTGGTATCAATGAGATAATTGTTTTTATCAGGATGTTTTGAGTGCTTTTGTAAGAAGGCATTATCCATTAAAGAGAATTCCTGGAATCCTGCTGATAACGAATATATATGCAATGAAGTCTCTTTGTAAGAACTCACCAGACCAGTCAAAAGACCATAGATTTTTTTTTCCCCCAGAAGCTATCAGAAGAGTCTAAATATAAAACTGTTATATTCAATAAACTGCCTGCTATCATGCCTGTTAAAATGAAGAGTGCCAAAACTGTTAATGTTATTGAGGAAGATGTTCATTGAACTGGCAAGAGGAAGTTTTCTTCTAATTTTATGACAGAAAAGAATATTCCTTTTTCAGTATGTCCTTCTGGTTAAAAAAAAAAAAAAGAAAAAAAAAAAGAAAGATTTATGATAGCTGTCAACACTAATGGGCGCTGCTGTCCCAAGTTGGAGTTACTGCAGTTTTGCAGTCATTTGCCTCATGATATTAGTGCTTCTTTTCAGAGGTGGATACCTGACTATGGGAACCAGGTTAGCACCATCAAGCTTCCCCTTCATGCCTCCTATTAAATAGACAGTAGTAAGTATTGGTGACAAGTGCATACTGAAGAAGGATTTGAGCCAATTGCATAGAATGACAAAGCTCTGTTTTAAGTTACCAATATCATCTCTTGCAAAGGCAATAAATTGTTAATATGCTGTTATTCCAGATTTCTAGAAGAACCAATGCGGCATGGCAGTTAGGACGACAGTTAATGGCCACTGAGGAGGAGGACAGTTCATCAAATCTTCCCCTGAATGTGACTAATGGAAATTATACATGCATCCTTTTTTATGCTAGTAATTTCAGCCTCATGGCCAACGATTCAGTTTTTATAGATTTGACAAATATAACATTTGTAAACCGGGATGTGGACATTTCCTCCTCTGAGTGCTCAGACACCAACACAACGTGAGTAGTACAAGAAAATTGATATCATAACGAGTAGTACAAGAAAAGTGATATAGTAACACATGGTTCTAAGAGCTAATCAGAAATAGTGCAGTGGCAACAACTTAATATTAGCTTAATAATTTTCTTCTAAAGAAGTCAAAATAGAAATGCTAAACTAGAAATCTTAGTAGACCAGATGTGAGTCAATACACAAAAATAGAGGTGCAGCCTATATTTTTACTACCTTTTCCATTTCACATTTCTGAGTTTCCTGCTTTATTTATAAGAAGGTGTTTGGCCCACATAGGATTTTCTGGGCTCTATCTTACAGTCACACAAATCTCCACTAGCATTAGGGGAGATGATAATTTCATTGTAGAATTCTCTTGGAGTATTGCCAGTTCCCAGGTAATAATTCAGCATGAGTGAAATATGGAGTCTGTTTTCCTTTATTTCAACAAATGAGCTCATGAGTAAAAAAATATTTCTGTAGAAATATTTTGTCATATTTTTTCTGTGTATTGAATCTTTGCTAGATGACTTTTTTAATTGCCTGTTGATTTAGAATATTGCATTTGACTTAAATGTTGCAATGATCTAATTAAAGCTGACTAGCATTATTTTTTTTGTCTTAGACTGTCATTAAAATACACAAAACCAGTGAATGGAATCAGCAGTTTGGAGATAAGGTAACTTATGATTTATTCTTAAATAAATATTAGTAAAGTACAAAGTCTGTAAATTAGGACAAAAAAGGAGGAGAAGATGTAGATTACCCACTTTCAAAAAAAAATGCAATTATTTAGTAGTTCTAAAAAGAGAATAAAATATTCTCTATGTTGTTAAAACATCTTTTAATACTTTTTCTCTCTAGCTCTTTGCAAGACTATCTTTCTTCTTTCACTGAGTAGAAACTAACTGCACATCCTAAACATCTGTAGGCCGAAGTGACTCTATGCACTTATGTACCTAGCCCTCCTACACAGCAGGGGACCGAGTGCCAGCAGTTCCACATCATTCTTCTTTGTCTTCAGATATAAGAGCTAGTGGAATCAGACTCTCAGGAGTTCTTATTGTGAGCATGTTATCTCCAATTGGCTTTCCCCCAACTGTGCTCCTGCACTGCTTCAGTGAAAATGTAAGCACAGGGAGATTCTGCAGAGAGGATTGCTTTACCAAACTGCTTTTCTTCACTGTCCAGCCAAAGTCTGCCAGCTTTCTGCTCCTTTCAAGAAAGTTGGAAGTACAGACTGACTCTCTGGTGAGAGAGAGGAAGCGCAGACTGAAGTTACAACACCCAGTTAGTACGAGTAGCTGATGACAGAGTTTCACCTGAAAGTGTTGTAATGTAAATAAGTACATAGCTTGTATGAAATATGGTTGTGATACAAGGTGTGAGGTGAGTTATACAAAAAGGGGAAATTCAATAGAATAAATAACTGAAAGCAATATAGGAATGACTAGATGATAGCCAGGATATATAATAGTCTATTCATCTAAAGTAGCATAAGGTTGGAAGATGCAATATTGATGATATTGTCTACTCCTTCTGTCACTGAAACTCTTAAGAGTTTATGCACTGGAGAAATGGTTCACAGCAGCAGGTAAGAACAATGCTGCCGTTTGACCAACCTGACACCTTGTAGCAAAGGCACAATCAACAGAGAAGATAATTTCATAATTTTTTTTATGTTTTGATATATCCACACAGCAATTGATAAGGGGTAATCTGGGAGAAAACAGGTGGTGTAGTGGACGGAAGACATATACTAGGTACTAATCTTCTAAGATGGTAGAAGGCAGAGACCAGCTTTGGCTGGTCCTCAAAAGACTTTATAAAGAAAACTTTCCAGTGATCTCAGATATAGTAAGAACTAGAATATATCAAGCCTAGAAGGCTTTAAAAAGATGGTCACCTTGCATGCTAAAGACACACTCTCTTATTCGTGTTGTTTTATGTTGAATTATCTCTTCATTTCAGAGACAGTCGTGACTGTCTCATAAAGTGTTGTCTGAACTGTTCCAGTGCTATTTTAGTCTTCTGTTACCATAATATTACATAGCGCACAATACAACTAATAAGACATACCCAACAGAAACAGAACGATTCATTCATCTTATCATGATTCAGGAACGCTTTATTCGTCTTGTGTATTCCAACAATATAAATTCTCAATAACTTATTCTAAAACCCAGAGAGATATTTCAGCCTCTGTTTTCCCCTTCCTCTTCACTTCAACCACATTTCTTTTTCAACATAACTCCTTAGTGGGTTTGCAGTCTGCCTCAGTAAACAGGGTACAAACAGTACAAAGGACAAAAAAGTGGGAAGGAACAGAGAATAGAGCCATGAACACAAATTCATTTCTTGCAAAGGCCAGTACAGAATCATAGAATCATGTTTCTGCTGAGTATATCTTATTAGTTGTATTATATGCTGTGTAATGTTATTAGTAGCTGGGCAAAGCCTGCTTAGTATTTCTCCAATTACGAAAAGTACTTGACTGTTTGAGTTCCTTGTAGTGTATAGAGAATTGAATAGAATTAATCCAAGAACTGTGTTCTAAATTCTTTTGCATAATAGTTGTGATCCTCTTTGGACCTTTGAAACAGGAGGGATTCCAGCTAACTTCCTTCTTGATAACTTCTCAGCTTATAGTGAATTGTTGCATGAAATGATGACTCATGGTGGGTGGCATTTAGAGTTCATGTAGTACCTAGTTCAAAGGGAGCCTGGCCTATGACCAGGAATAGTTTGTGCCACAATACATGAAGTAAGCAACAGCAGTGTGCCAGTTTCCTTCCTGTATTGGCTGTAATGTTTGATGTGAACACAGCATGTCCTATAAAAACAAGAGGTGTTTACAGTTCTTCTCATAAAATCTTTGTCATCTTTCCTCCCCTTGTCATTTATTTGCTGTACTTTATTTGTTCTATTTGCTATCCATTCATCTAAGAAAATATATATTAAATTATATGAAATATATGAATCTTTGCAATTTTAATGTGTTATTTGTAATTTAATTATAGTATATTAATTATCAGTTATGTCTGCTTAAGTATGTGTTTGCTGTAGACCCTTGTTATCAGTTATCTGGATAAAATGCTAAGGATGAAAGCCTGGAATGTTATGTTAATCTTGCTCAGTTAATTCACTGCTTAGCGTCTTAATTCTCGTAAATCTGTAAATAACATAAAGTGTAACTCTAAGTCCTAGGCGCAGTGTGGAGGACAGCATTCATATGAAGGTCACTTCTGACCATACTCCACACTCATAGCCTTATAAGACTTGTTTGTTCGTATCGGTAAATCTCCAGAGAACTTCCTTATTTACCATTTTGCTTATCCTTTCTCACAAGAGCAGAGAATGTACCTAGAAGCAGTGGTTGGCACAAACATTTAAGTAAATTTCTTTATTTTTATAACTGGCATTGTCTTAAGGTCAAAGATACTCAGCTAATGCCTATGACATTGCTATTTATACACCACAGAAACTTGGTTCAGATTATGCAGTACCTCAGGAGAGAGGCCTTCATTCCTTGATGTAGAGATTACTATATACTTTAATTTATGTAACTTTAGCATTACAGCAACAGAATATTTACTTATAAGTTTCACTGAATGTACATTAGATATAATTCAAGTAGATCTTTTTGTTTGTGTTGACTGTTTGCTGCTGAAAGATATATGAAATGGACTGCTTAGAATCAATACATCAGGAATGCCATGAAAAAATCTTTTCCTGGTTCTAGAATTCCTAGGTTTTTGAAACTCTCCAGAATTATGAAGCTACATGAACCAGAAGCCACATATATTAAAAAATGGATCAATTATTGTGAAGAACCTAACCTGTCAAATTTTGATGCTACTTCTAATGAGCATTGTCTGTGTTGAGCTTAGAGTCATTGACAGTTACGGAATATGTTATGGAAAGCAACTGATTTAAATGAATGAGCAATATTCTGTAATGTAGAATATTTATTAGATATATCCATTAGAATATGTAACATTCTATGTTGTGCAGCATTTATAGATGGTGCTTTATTTTCAAACTTATTTTAATTGCATTTATATACTACCCCGCAATTCACATGTAGTGTTACCCTGAGTGGATAGATATTTTAGATAGATAGACTTTTTTTTTGAAGAAAGCCTACTAAAAAGATTCCTGTCCTGAATTTTTAGTGCTTACTAATTAACAAAAAAAATCTAGCAAACAATATAGCAATAAATAAATAAATCAAGTAGCATTTAAAAGTGTTAAGCAACATACATATAATTAGGAAGAAAGTGTATAATTTCCTAAATTATTTCTGTGTCAGAATATTTGGAAGATGCTTATTTTGAATTGATAGCGACATGTAAATAAACTCCATGATTATAAGATATTTGAAATTGATGCACTCTTGCACACATATAGACCTTTGCAAAAAGAGACTATATTTAGGAAATCGGGGCTGCCAGTGCACATACATATGTTCCTAGTGAGAGAAAACTCTGTCTTCCACTGTAATTCCAGATGTTTGCAAAGCCAAGGAAGAACTGCAACAGTTTTTGTTTTCCTAAATGTTTTCCTAAAAACATTTTTTTTTAAATCCCATAAAATTTTTTTTGAGTACTGAAGGTCTGATGACAGTCTTTTAGATTCTGCTGCACTGATTATAAACTATTAGTAACTCATGAACTATTCTATTGGTGGAGGCTCTTGAAGAATGAAAGTACATTTACTTGATAGTTGCCTGACTCAGCTGTGGAAAATAATTGCTTATAAGCTGGAACTCTAAGTAGTCATAAAGTAACACATTCACAAAGCCTTTTCATTTATGAACTGTCCTAATGATATAGGAAGTCAAAATGTCAGCTGTCGTGTATGTGGCTAGTAATAGTGAATCTTTACCTGCCATCTGTACTTTATCAAATGATTAACTTTTTCCTCCTGCCCTTTTTGACTTTTTTTTTCTGTTTTCTTTCTAGATTTGTATTGACCAACATGTTCTATGACGTCTCAGCTAGAAACTGGTCCACTTTAAAATCAGTTGAGATTGTACAAGATGACTATAAGTTTGCTAAGTTTAATGTTTCTGTCATCTCTGCTCCTGCAGAGTATTCATTTCATTGCCAGCTGGTGGGAACAAGCAATCTCTATCCTGCAAGGTTGATTCCATTTAACGAGGAAGCAGAAAACTGGGATGTTTTCATTTCAAGCTTCCAAGTGAGTACACATCACCATTTCAGAGATAATTCCAAGAACTGTTATTTGATATTGTAGGTACTGAATGACATACATTCATAATGCCCTTACTTTCATTCCAGCCTGAAGGAAAATGCAAAAGAAAAGCTTTTCCCCCTAGGTGAGCTATTCAAGAAGGGGGAAAAGAGAAGGCAGTTGTTGAACAATAAGAATGTGAAAGCACAGCTGTGAGGAGAAAAAAAAAAAACTGTGAAGCTGTCCACAGAAAAGAAAAACCAATAAAACCAAATGTGCTTAATCAGGCAAAGAATGACTAAGTCCCCATGCCTGTTCAATGAATTGGGCTGCTGTTGGAAACATGGACCTCTTAAGTGGGTGGCTTTATGCTGCTTACTTTGTTTTCATTTGATTTCTTTGCACTTTGTTTACCTAGGAAAGTACAGCTTAGTGTGGTTATGGTTTTCAAGAACACAGAGTGTCTGAACTCCTACAGATAGAAACAAAGCCCAGTGTAATTAGATTTAATGGAAGGTTTGCCATTGGCATCAATTGGGAACAATATTCCGTCTCACATGGCGCAGAGACAAAGCAGTTTGCTCTTCTTTGAATGAGATACACGTTTTCCAAATATGTAATGCAGCAGTAGAGACTACATATATGAGGTGTAAGTGATTACTTCTTTATTGTTTTGAGTATTGATCTTTATTTAGGAGGAACACACCAACATTTATATCTTCAAACACACCAAGGGATCTCTCTAATTAACAAGATCATGGAAATGACAGTATTCCTGTCCAGTATTTCCAAGTCAGCCTCTATTTGCCAGAGTTAATCTGATGCCCATGTTGACTGGATAAAAATGCTAATATAGTTTTATTTGTTAGATACCAAACCGAATTTTAGTGATCTGTATCCATATTTGGCATTTCTGCTTAAACAATGAAAATCTCCAAGAAACATGACTAGTTTTGGCATTTATCTTCTCTTGCCATCCCCTACACACACTATCAGAATCAACAGAAGAAAGAATGCAGAAATCCACAGATTCCAAGATAAAGTCCTGTTGTTTTTGAGAAACTACATAGCAGTAGGCACCAGTTTTGTGAAGGTTCTTCCTGATGCTATTTCTTATGGCAAGGCCTGAAAAAACAATGAGTCCACATGACTGTACTTTGCCTAGCACACTCTCTGAAGTGTGAAGCAAAGCCTTTGACATCATTAGGGACAGGGACTATGAAGAGTCCACTTACAGCAATCTATTAGAATTTCTACGCACAATGATACTGTTATTTTCTCAAAGCTTAGAAAGAGATATTGCACCATCTTGAGCAGGCATTCTTTCGTCAGGGTCTAGATCAAGAACAGAATGAACAGGACTCCCAGCTTCCTTACAATTTTGGAGAAGCAGCTTCTGCTCTCAGTTCCTCTTGGGGAAGGCCTCTCACACTAGATCTTCACCATGAAACACAACCAGAAAATTTCTGCTCTAATCATTTCTCTTGTATGAGCTTAAGTAAAACTGGAAAATCACCATTTGGGGCCACTTTTTAGGCCTTATCTGAAATAGAGCATGCCTTTCTAGATTCCTTTCACTGATAGATAGTTCAATCCCAATTATCGCAACTCAGTCAGCTAAGATATTAATCTTTGTCCTAGAATGAAGTTTGCAAACCCCCAAGCTCTGTTGCGAGATAAGAAAGTACCTGGAATGTGCTCAGTGACTACAGAACTGCAGGCAGCACAGAATTTGGTAGCTGACATGGAGGAACTTGTTTTTCATGTCAATGTTAAGCAGTGAATCAGAAACCAAGTCCCAGTGCCAATCTAGCTGGTACACTTGAACTTCACTAGTTTGGCTCCTGAAAATAGTTATTAACAAATATATATATACTTAACAGATATTAGAGGCACATAGTACTTGCACAGCTAAGCCTTGCATAATTTATTCCAGATTTTTTGGGGCTAAAATATTTCTAACATCAGTAATTAGATGTAGTGTACCTTTAAAAGCAGTGAAAGAACAGAGATTTTGCTTAAAGATGTTATAAAAATAAAGTGCTGTGCCAAATCCCATAAAAGAGAAAAAAAAAAAAGAGGAAATGCAGACTGTTGTAACCAAGAAAAATGATGCTGGTCAAAGTACTAAAATTAAACCCTCTACAGGGCAGAGGTCTTTATCAAAAGATATTTATATGCATAAAAGTTAAAGGACCACATTTAAGTATTTCTAACTTTCCATAGGTAAAAATGCTGCTAGAAATCACATTTTTATCTCTCAGCTGGGATCTTGCACCCCCACAGAATAAAAGAACCCTTAATATACTTCATCTTCTTCCTAAAAGGTAGACATAGCATTTTAAGAATGTGCAATTAAAGCTTTCACCTGAAAAGTTCAATAGAAATAATTCTGCTTGGAAAAAAAAAAAAAAAGGCAATATTTCTGGCTCTAAATCAGAAGCAGTAAATCCTTGCTAAACCAAATAGACCTGCTAAGTGCCGCAGAGAGTTCTCATAAATATAGTAACAAGATCTTATTGTTTTTCAGATATTCACTCTGTTCTGTGAACCAGAATGGCGTAAATCATCACCAGCTTTTTTTTTTTTTCTTTCATAAATGGCTTTTCATGACTTCTATCCATGTTCTCAACTGCTGTCTAAATAGTGGCTTAACCACTATTAGGCCTTAGTAATCACCTGTGTTCTATAAAATTGTGTGCAAATAGTTATCCAAGCCAAAAGTTTTTTTCTTATAGTGGAAAATAGTGCCTTATAGTGGAAAACAGACAATATTTGCCAGTGAACCTCCATGATAAGACTTGGAGAGATTCTTGCAAGAAGCCCTGGAAAGCTTGTATGGCCAAAAATTATCTACCTGTGTCCTTATATATCTATCTGCACCACAGTGCCTGCATAGCCTCAGACTAGTCCTGCATATAATAAAACTTTGTTAATCAGCATTTTAGAGGGAATAACGGCATCATTCTTAATGTATGCATTGCATACACATGGACTGTAAGGTGCCAAAGCCACAAATGAATGCAAAACTGAAGGGCTTAATGAGATAGCATTGTATGCAAGCCAAAGACTGATGTCTTCACTGTTTGCAGCAACATTTTCCTTGGAAATACAAATTCTGTTTTATTACCACAAAGCTATTCAGGTTATTCACCATAAAGCAAGGAATAATCAGCGTGTAGGAACACACAACAATAGAAATACATGATCTTCTGCCTCATCAATTATTGATTGGTGAGGAGAGTGATTTAAATGAAATAATTTTATAGAAAACAATTTTAAGGTTTATTAGTGGATTTATGATGTTTGATGCTTTCCTTAAGCACACATTTCAAACAATATGTAAATACATAAGCATACCAGCTTTTTTATTTTTATTTTGAAGTGATTTAGGAAAAGCTCAGAAGCATACCCAAAATCAGATTAACTCAGACAAACTCAGCCATCGATCATTAAATGTGTTTTAAAGTAGGCTTCAAGAGTTTTGCTGTTAAAAATCTGCTCCTTAAAAATTTCAGAGTATTTCAACAAATGTCATGATTTGGAAAATCTTAACTGATGTGTTTGTAAGTGCTTTGAGTTTCATAGTTGTTCATTGAGCTAATCTGATTTCACATGCCATTTGGAACATTAGTTTTTTAAAAGTAGTCTATATTTCTGAGATGGGAAACACAACTTTGCTTCTGTGCTCTGCACAAGTAACTCATCCATCTTCAACTTTCTGGGAAAAAAAGGGGAAGATCACTATTGAAAAGATTTGATTCTGAGTCTTTCTTAATGGTCTGGGTGTGAGTAGTTAACAGGTGTGGATTTTGTAACGGCCAAATACATCCTGAAAGTCGGGTCTGTGCTGTATGCTTATCTGCACTTACACTTTTTTCATTCTCAGCTTCAAGGCTTCAACATTGAAAACAACCTATTTTCCTATGCAAGCGACTGTACAAGTTTCTTCACTCCTGGGATCTGGATGGGCTTGGTGACCTCTGTGATTCTTCTGTGGATCCTGGCCTATGGCATCCACATGATCATGCAGCTCACAACAAACAGCAGATTCGATGATCCCAAAGGTCCGGCCCTTTCCGTTCCTCAGACAGAATAGGAGTGGACTGAATTAATGCATCTTCAGCTTTTCCTGGTTTGATATTTACAGTTTTATAATCTTTCTACTTTATAATAAATGTTACTTAAAGAGATACTGTAGCAATAGGAAGTAGGAAGGGATAATTAAGACAGATATAAAAAGGATCCTTTTGCTTAGCAACAGTAATAGTTCTATGTTTTAGTTTTGTGTTAACGAACATCAGTTTGTTAATAGTTATCTTTGTTAAAACTCTGAGATTAGACTGTAGAAGTTATTATGCTGTCCAGTTATTAGAAAGACCAGTGCGAATATCTATCAGATTAAATATTATTGTCAAGGAAAGGATATCACAACAGAGCTACACTGGAAGAATTTATAAATTATTTATTCAGTAAGGCTATATATTGAAACCATTAAAGTCTCTTTAAATCATCTTTAATAAGCATAGCATGTTAACGCTACAACTTAAGAAACCTGAACTGTGTCTTCGCAGTTTTTCTCCTGCAAAAATAATCCAGAAATGCAGTGAACTAATAAAGTACAAGTCATTAAACCAAATGATCTTGGAAAGTTTTTTTTTTTTTCAAAATATATCATGTTATTCAGATGTGGTACCACAGAACAGAAGGGGTAGACCAAGGTTCATCCTCCCTCTAAATCATTTTATTCCTCTGATAATTGTGCTGAGTAAGACTGACTCAAAAGCTGGTTTTGGCCACGGGAAGCTGATGGAGTTATTGATCTAGATAGGTCCCTGTGCAATCACTAAGTTGTATTTACCATCATGATAATTTATACGGCTCTTCAAGGTCATAATCAGTTACAGTGCAGACCTTAAATAGGTATGCACTAAATAGGTAATTTTCTTAATATTCCTCCTTTTCCAGATATCATTGGGGTAGTTTTGAGGTTAGTACAGAAAAAAAAAAAAACACACAAACGTGTGTGTGTGTGATTCGAAGAAATCCTGTGCTAGTGTACTGATAACAGCTGAACATATTTATGATCCCAATGATTTCAGAAACACATTCAGAGCATGCTGAATTCTCTGACAATTAAAAAAGACATCACGTCTTCTCACTTGGCAGTCTGACTACAGAGTGAATTACTAAATATTTTGAAAAACTATTTGCTGTCACAGAGAATTAAGTGTTCAATGTTTGTCAAACGTTATCAATCAAGTCATATTTTGAGATAAAATGACTTTTTTGGATTCTTGTCATGTTAATTTTTGATTTGGAAGAAAGGGAAAATTATTTTCAATTACTTTATTATTATTTTGAAAGATATAAGAGGATATGTGAAATAATAAAATATCATTTCTAGTCTTTCTTCTGCAATATTTTGATATGACTGCACTTGTTCTATTAGTTAACTAGTTCTATTAGTAGTTAACAGAATAAAAAGACACCAATTGGTACATGAATTTTTTTTTGTGATTTTGACCCATGCCATAGGACAATGATACAGAGGAATGATGTTCAGAGCGAACTACCTACCTAAACCGAAAATTATCTCTGCCCATCATTCATGGATGTCGTATTTTTATTATGCAGTCAAAGAAGTAAATTAATGCTGTCTGAAGCAATTCCTCCTGAACTGCTCGATCCTGACCTGGAAAAACAAAAGGGACACTGGCAGGAAGATAGGATAGGTGACTCCAGTGTTTTAATATGTTTTTCTAGGTGTTATTAAAAACCTTGAGGAATACTGTAGTTTGAGCTACACAAGAATGTTATATTAGGAAGGCACCTTTTCTTTGCGAAAAATAATTGCCAAGGGATATAACTGGACTTGGTTTATTAATTCCCTTTTCAAAGCAAGTTATTGGAATGTGATTTAATTGAAAATTGATGTAATGGTAGTGTAACTGATATTTAGAAGGGAAGAGGGGGATAAAACAAGGTCTTGGCTTGTAGCAAACAGCTTTCTTATGACTTTTATATAGAACCAGCAAAATATGAAACAGATTTTGTTCAGTAGTGATGACATGCAAGAAATGAAGAATTGCTGCACCATGAAAATGCCACTGAGCTCAGTATGGACTCAAGAACTGCTGTGTGCAGCAGCAGGCCGAGCACAGCCAGTGTCTAGCAGTACTTCTGCAGATCTCCCCGCCAGGAACCCCTGAAGCTCACAGACTTCCTTAGGCAGGATCTGTTTTCCATGGATTTGTCCAACTGTTCTAGTCCCATGGCGCTGGGGATGCATGTGCCCTCCCTTCCCTGCATGGAACAGGCTCTGGGGAAGGAACCAGGGCTTCAGGGAGGCTCTACCATAGGAAAGAGATTGGCGGGGTTTTTTTGGAAGATACCAAGCTCAGATAAAAGAGATGTCTGTTGGACAGGCTTTCCATTGGTGCAGCAAAACTGAAGCTTATAGAAAAGCACTGGACTGAATCTGCTGTGTTTAATGCTGTGCTTTCTAAGGGGAAAGGGAAGGTGGGATAGAAGCTCCTTGCATCCTGGGGCAGGCCAGCACTCTGGGGACCTGGGCATGTCCCTGTCACACGTGGATGACCCAGCTGGTTCTCCGGGTCAGGGCTGCAAGCACTGCTTGAACCAAATGCCTTTGCCAGCCCCTGTCCTGTGCACGGCATTACCCTCCAGCCCAAGATGAGGCCCTTGTTACTGATTTCAGTAGGGTTCTGTTCTCCATTTTAAAAAGGACCTCAAGAAATTCTAGAAGGATGGTGCATCTGCTTATTTTTGTTCACCAGAAAAAGTCAGAAACCTGTCAGAGGCCTCCTAGGTCTGTGTACATCTGTTTTCATAATTCAGCTTAGTCGCAGGTATACTTGTTAAAACATGCCCGTTTTGGGAGGTGTTCCAACAAGAATATTAACTCTGCCTGGGAGATGTGAGACTCTAGGACTTTCTTGGGAGCTTGCTGAAGTCGCCAGAAGTATTGCTGCTTACTTCAGTGCTTACTTTAGCTTATAGCTCTACAAAATGCAAAATAATTTAATAAATGCTGGGCTAGGGAGAAAGCAATAGCTAAAGAAGCAGTCTTTTTTTTTGAATAAATAAGTAAATAAAGTTCAATTAGAAAAAAATAATCAGCTACTATCAAAATTACAACACAATCTGAAAAAATCAAATTAAGTGTGAAAAATCATTAAGATTAAAACAGGCAAAAACCCAAGCCAAACCAAAAGAGTTCTGAACCCATAATGTTTAGTAATTCAAGGTATTTCCTCACCATGCAGTAATGATCACTTTGCTGGCGTGCAGCGGGGAAGGAGCTAGAACCTGAAACACCTGCCTCCTCTTGCCACTACCTATACGGCTCTGAGTGTGTTTGTTTCTCCTCTTGTGCAATGGCCTCCGTCACAAACCACAAGGAAACCCAGCAATGACTTAAGTTACGTAACAGCGGTGGCATGTCAATAGGGAAGGGAGATGTTATGTAGATAGTAAAGGGCAATGTCATGCCACCTGCCACGGGAAGACTCACTGAAGTACCTTTTTCCTTCTCTGCTTCAGCATGGCCTGGTTCATAGTTAATATGCAAATCTGAATCAATCAGCTAGATTAGGCAGTGTCCAGCCCTTATAGGTCTGTGTATATGAGAGTAAGATAGAGCTGCTGAAAAGAATGTCTGACAATAAAAAGCTAACTCTCAGTACAAAGAAAACTGAAATTTGGATGCTGTTCACTGCTGGCAAAAAGACTAGCAGTAGTCTGAGCAGATGATGATTATGGGGCAGAAAATGTAATGGTAATTTTCTTTCATCAAATGGGGTGGCAAATGATCCATAGCTGCATAAGAATGAGAGGAGGGACAGGGAGTCCTTTTCCTGACGGCTATTTTTCCTCTTGGACCCCCACAGTAAAAAGGAATGAAATGTTCTCCTGAGAAGGGCACTGAATGAGAAAACCAACTGACTGTAGGGCTGGTGATCAAAGCATTGGAAACTTTAAAGGAAAAGTCAGGAGAGGAAGAGTTTGAAGGAACATCCCTCTGTTGCTTTCCAAAGGCTGTCAGCTAGTGAGTATTGCTCAGTCACGCTCTGCCTGAATTTGTGATAGAAAAATGAACCAGAAATAGGATTCAGGACTATTTCTCCTTTCAAGTTTCATTCTTATGAGGCTTTCAAGAGCCAGTAAGACCAAGAAGAAGGTAACATGGATATCTAATAACTTTGTTGGATCTCCAATAGGAAGGGCACAGATGAAGACATGCAGCTGCAATACACGGTGGCCAGGAGGTTTATAGGATTATGTGAAGATTGTTCTTCTTGCTCTTACTCCATTCTGGAGTGTCATTAAAAGCTGCTTGTTTCCTGTCCTTTGATTTCAGGCAGCAAAGTGCTGTCAGTCTCCTGCAGCCCTTTCAGACAGGGAGGGCTGCTGCCTCCAGAGCCTTGTGGCTCTGAGCGCTCTGTCTCTGAAGCTGTGATAAAGGGGACACCAGCGATGAGGGCCTGACTGTCAAAACAGGCCCTGCAACATCCTGCAGTGTGTTGGGTTACAATAGGCAACAGATTTTTTTTTTCCTGAAACACTCCTTGAAATAGCTGAGGACTGCAGCTGAGTGGAAAAAAATGTAGGAGCAGTATTTTGAGAAATCTGTACAGAGGAAAAAGAAGGAAGGAGACTGTTCAAACTTTAAAATTCTATTCAATAGAGGAAAATACTCTGATGTCTAATAATCTTCCAAGGACGGAACTTGATCTTCTTCTATTTGCTAATAGAAGTTCTTTTCTCTGGCCAGTATATTCCCTATCAAAATTAAAGCAAAATAAAGGAGGAGAAAGTTGTTTCTTCAGAACTGAGGTTTCTAAAGGCTTAAAAAATATCGAAGTATAAGAAAAAAGAAAAAAAAAAGAAAAAGAAACAGGCTTCTTGCCAAGGGGTGGTTCCCTGCTTCTTTAAAAAAGAAACAGGCTTCTTGCCAAGGGGTGGTTCCCTGCTTCTTTGATAAATAAGTAGTCTCTCACTTCCACTGTATGGGCCAGTGTCTTTCTTGGTCTTCCTGCCTGTGTGGGTGGAAGGGACACTTACGACAGTGCTGGA